TGTGTGAACGCTTAGTGGAACGCACGGTATTTATACTGTAATTTGACTTGACAGTCTTGACAGTTGGAAAGTGCAATGTGAAATATTTGAATGGAATTGAAATCATATAATTATGACTTTTCCAAAATATTTCGAATGAAATTCGATATATCTCAAACAATTCCTTTACGGAATAAATCAATACGATGAATATATTTAAATTTTTAATGTATGTTGTTCTTTTTGAATAATGAATAATCCTTTAGATATTGATCCAGAAACTGATCAAATATTGGAAAGTGAAGTAGTTCCTATTCTTGATTGTCAGCCTTTGAAAAATAATGTTATGAATGTAAGTAGTGTGACAGACTCGTCTGAGAAGGTATATAATGAAAAAGGCTTTACTAATACTAAGTGTGATGGGGAATATGGTACATTGGAGAGAGATTCCAATGAGGTGCCAAAGAAAACTTTTATTTCTCAAAATAATGACGAACTTCTTCCGAATCCTGAAAAACCTATAGATTATTTCCAACAAATTTTGGAAGAGAAGCCTCAAACAAAACAATTAGAAGAAAAACAAACAAAAATGGAAGAATTGGTAAAGGACCTTCATTTAAAGTTAGAACAAGTGAGTTCAAAAATATGTGACTTCATTTGTTGTATGAATGTTATTTAATTACAGTAGTAGAATTGTGCCACTTTTCTAGATTGATCGTTTTGTGATGACGTTGGTTTAGTTGCTGAAACGTGTATGGAGAAAACTGTCTTAGTACTCGTTAATACTAACAACATAATGTTCTGGTGATAAAGGGCCTGGGGTTTCATTTGTAGTCCAAAAAAAATATTTCTACTCGAGTTCATAAAGATAAACTTTCAGTTCAGGGTAATTATTTGGATAATAATTTCAAGATGAAACTTCTTACAATAAGAAACTCATAAAATGATACCTTTTTTTTACTATCACATACTTACGATCTTTATTCACTTGCCACTTCCTTTTTTATTTCATACCAAAAGAATAATTTCCTTAAAATTCCATTTCTTCCAACAAACCACATCATACTTAGAGAAAACAAAATCTGGGCTCTAAGGTTGTGGTCAAATGTAAGTTGTAGTCATCATCAGTAATATATGTGTCAGACACATATATCACTGACAATGTCTGCTGTAGTAGCAGATGAAACTGGAAAGTTCCATTCAGCAGCGGCCTAACCCTACCAGTCCGGATTCTGTTTTCTCTAATTGTGACTCTAGCCGTGAAAGCCCCTCTTCTCATATTATTACATCATATTTGTTTATGGAAATAAGTGACACTTCTTCAAGGGACTTCCTCTCACTTTCTCAAGGTGTTTGTCAAATGTATATGAGTACCTGAAAGATGAGAAATGCCTTCTTTATTTTTGTCATTCGTAATGTACTTCTCACAATCTAAAAGCAATCTGAATAACAAATTGTATCTATTGTATGCACAGGTTTTAACGTAAACGCAAGCTATTTTTATCAAGTACTTTCTTGGTTTTTCTCATTTTGTCTTCAATCGAGGACCGGTACTGGCGATGCCCAATAGGCTGAAACAGCTGTCTACCGGTGGCTCTTAAATTGAAATCAATATGGGAAAAAAGTGTAGAGATTCCAAGTCACGTTAGTTCACGACGTTTCGATTGTTGGTATCTACAATCGTCTTCAATTATTATATTTTTACTTGTAGGTTATTTCACTATCATTTCATTTCAGGTTTATTGTTGCTTAATATAATTGTTATTTTCAACTATTCTTTTTTAATTATTCTTTTTTACTTGTTTCAGGGATATCAAATCATTTCATATAGTAGACAATGGAAGTCCGAACTAGTGAAATTCAAACATGATTTTGTCATATACCATAAAACAACCCACACAGATACAACTATCAATAACCATTCTAATCACCCTCATCAACAAATAAGCGGCTTAACATATCAGAATCCACAGACTCACAAATATCCCAATGTCCACAGAGAATTTTAATTAGGAATTAAATTTTTTGATAAAACAAATTGCAGTAAACAACAACTTGAACTCGAACATGATTCTTGACAAAAAAAAATTTCAAACAAGCCATTAGACAAGTTACATACCTTCACATGTAAAATAACACTAACACCTACAAAAGACTCGCGTATACAGGAAAATCATCAAATAAAATAAAAAGACTATTTACAAAAGAGAACATTTACAAAGCATATGAGACTAGTAACTCCTTGGGAAGACAAATAAAAAACCACAAGTCAAAAGGAGCTCAAAGGTTTATATAAGGACTTCAAAAAATTTCGAAACAAAAATCTCCAATATGAAAGAAGTTTTGAGTTGAAGAAAAATAATTCCACCTATGCCTGCCACTTTTTGGAATAACCCCGATTTCAACATAGACTACAACATAATACATAAAGATACAGAAATGAAGGACAAAAATTAAACCTGCTAGAATCTCTGAAAATCGATAAACGCAAATATTCAAATTTTCATTTAAAACACCAACAGGAATGTATTCATTTACCATTATTAAATTAGTTTCCATAAAATCTCAATAATTAATATATATTTACATATTAACTGCGTTCCTAGAAGTAATATTGTATTATTGTTTTTTTAAAATCTACCTATTTTGACAGAATTGAACGTTAACTAATCAAGTTTTGACATAAAATGCCAATATTTTATGTTTTTCTAGATGTAACATTGTATTACTCCAAATTGTTTTTTTTTAATCTACCTCTTCTACCAGATGCATTCATTTATC